CACACACTCTCTCTCTCTCTCCAAAATGAGTATGTGTATATATTATGTGGAAGTGCGTATGTATGTGTGTGTGTGCATTTGTGTTTATGTGTTGTTGTGATGTACATATTATGTGTATACTGTGAATATGTACGGTCTATTTGCTTGTTTTGGTTGAGTTGTTTTATGTTTAGGACTTTAGTTCTTTGCATTTGGCTTTTTATGTTTTGTGGCTGTTTTGGGTTTGTTTGTTGTTGGGTTTTTTTTGGGGGGTTGGCTTAGTTTGTTTTGCTTTGGTTGTTTGAGGGGGTGGGGGGGGGGGGGGGGGGGGGTGGCAGTACATGCCGGTGGCTCAACGAAGCACAAAAAAGTATGTATTGTAGACTGTTAATAACCGCGAAACCAGGGAAACCCGGGAATAGTTGAATTGTGCTTCAATTATATCGCTATGTGTCAGTAGCTTTGACACGTCTCTCACTGTCGAAAGTGGTTTTACCCTTTGCCAAGAATAAAAATGTGAGAGGGAAGGGTAGCGTAGAAGAGGCATTTGAGGACGGAGGAGGGGGGGGGGGATGGATTATGTCACGTCCTTGAGACTGTAGGAGATCAGCGTTGCACTCTTAAGATAATGAGAACGCACGTTTTTATCTTTGTTGCCTATGTTGGAGTAAAAATTCCAATAATAACTGTACGTATTATTTATACTACTTTTATCCCGATAATAAAAACTACAAATAATTAATAATGAGCAGCTATTTCGAGGTAGAAAACGATTTCTTTTTACCCAAAGCAGTACAAATGAAGAAGCCGAGTATACCAGTAACTCATATACACCCAAAAAATTACGACCGACTGACTTCACCAAGTCGTGAAACAAATAGAAAGTCGTTACACCATGTTGATTTCTGATTTAACACAGCCAGGTGAGATAGTGTTTTTATTCTGTAATATAAGGCTCTGAGAGCTGCCAGACAAGGATTGCAACTCACCTCTTTGTGGGGTGCTTCTATCTACAATCATGTTCATAAATAACTATCGAAAAGGGACCTTAAATTCGGAGGGCCAGTTTATTAAATAAGCTAATAGTGTTGATAAGGGCGTTAAATCCATCCACACACTTCACACCGGTGCTTGTGTTGTAGTGGTCTTGCAAGTGAAAACACTTCGATTCTCACTTGGAGCAGACATGTTGCTGAGCATCCGATCCCAAGGGATGTATGTAATCCGTGTAGCTCAGGTGAACCCTCTGATGCAGTGTACTAACAGCTAACTTTCTGAAAAACCCAACAACGTAGTTCACCTGCGCACGCACACTCACACACACACACACACACACACACACACACACACACACACACACACACACGCACACACACACATACACACACACACACACACACACAAATGACACCCCCTCCCTCGAAAAAAAAACACAAAAAACCAACCAAACAAAACAACTCACCATTTCTTCACAATAGCTCTCCGCATGAGAACGGGGCCGTGTGAATGGTCAAGTTATGGTCAGGGGGTCAGTCTGTAAATGGGTCATTTCGCCTTTGTACTGGTCAAGCTTGACCTCCAGAAGAAGCAGCAGGGACTGATGCCATAAAACCAGACGACCAATGGCCCTTTTGTAACAGAAGTGCGTGGCGAAAGCAAATTTAGCGAGACGTAACAAAATCTGCTTGACAGCCTCCTTTGTGCAGAAGGGCACACTTTGCATCGTGTCAAGGGCATCTCTATACTCGGCCCACAAACTCCGCAGCGGAGAAGAAGAGATAAGCTCTGCGCATATTATGTGAAGCCTTTTCTCAATATGGTAAAATATTCAGAATGTCACTTTTCAAAGGGTTGGTGTCCCTTTTCAAAAGTTAAATATTACTTTTCAAGGGTCTAATGTCACTTTTCAAAGGTTTCGTGAAGTGATCTCATTATTCTCTCTATTCGACCCACAATCTCTGCTGTGGGAGGACAAGATGAGCTCTGTGCATATGTGTGAAGCCTTTTGCAGAATAGAAAACTACTTAAGATGTCACTTTTCAAAGGTTTAATGTCACTTTGCAGAGGTTTAGTGAAATAATCTTATTATACGACAAACAATCTTCGTTGCGGGAGGAAGAGATGAGGGCGGTGTATATCTGTCAAGCCTTATTATACTTACTTACTTCTATCCGTCGCTTATACCCTTTTGGGTGCCGCGGTAGGAAAGAGACGTCTCTCTGCCACCAGCCAGAGAGCTTGGCTCAGGGGGATGCCATGAGTTGTGAGGGTTTCCCTGACTCCATTTATCCAGGTCTTTCTGGTCGCCTCCTAGCCTTGTTGCCATTGAAATTTTTAATGTAGGCACGTTGGGCTGGATGGTGTGTTGGTAATTGCAAGAGATGTCTAAACCATTTGGTTCTTTAGTGGTGTATGGGATGAATGACATAATTTGTGCCCACTATTTATCTGACAACTGAGTTTCTAAAGCTTTTCAAAGACATCGCATTTCAGATGTAATTCTTTGCTCCAATGTCATGTTCGTGGTCCATGTTTGGCATTGATAGGTGAGTGTTGGGATGAATATGGTTTTGATCATTTTAAGTTGTTGTTTTTTTGTCATGGGGAAGTCAGGATGTTTCAGTAGTGGAGCAAGCTGGTAACTAACATTATCGACCTTTTGTACTCGTGTTTCGATTTCTCTGTTTAGTCGCCCATCTTCTTTGAATATTCTTCCGAGGCACTTAAATTCTTGGACCTGTCTGAGACTGTTGTTGTTGATGTGTATCCTGGGACGTGGACCTGGGGTTGAGCTTTGGGAGGCGCCTTATCATAAAGAATAGAAAAATATTTAAAAAGCCACTTTTCAAAGGTTTAATGTCACTTTTCAAATATTTAGTGAAGTAATCTCTCTACTCGACCCACAATCTCCACTGTTGGCAGCAAAAAAAAAGAGCAATTTCTGTGAAGCTTTTTTCAGAATGTCACTCTTGCAAAGATTTCACGGAGAAATTCTCAACCTTGGACCTGTATGACACTCCTGGTGCGTTTGTTATTGGGGTGTTTTCCGGTGGGAGGAGGGGGGACGCTTGTCTGTTCGTTTATTTACTTGTTTGTTGTTTGTTTGTTCGTTTGTTTTGTTTTGTTTGTTTTTTTGCATTTTCATTAAGAAATCAATTATTAGAATGCATTGTTTATTTATTCTCATGTTTAATTGTTTCATTTCTTTTTCTCAAGGTTGATCAATGGATACATTTATAATAATACGTTTTCTTTTTCGTCATATAAAAGTCACTGGGAGATTTTTCCTATTTCTTCAATTCTTCAACTCTGAGTGTGGATTGGCTTGTTGCCTATTTTATTCTAAAGTGTAAAATAAATATTTGCATTTCAGTCTGAGTTTGGATCTATTTTATCTTCACTTCCAACGATTAGCAACTAAATGTTAGTGCTTTGTTTGCTTTGGCAGTACTATGTGGATGCAATGTAGCCCTGTTTCTACCACCTTTATCAGTGGGTGGTTGGCATGTGCTCTGCTATGGTTTTCTCCTTCTTTCCTATTAAGCATCTGTCGTCCTTATCTCACCTCCTTTTTAACGTTTATTACTCTATTGTAACAGCCCTAATCTTTGGCACTAATATGACCTTATTGTGCTGCAAATGCAGTAAAACTCTTTCTAAAGCAATAGTTCATGTGTGGGTCCCGTACAGCTGGCTAGTGGCACCAACACTACGTTACCTGAGAATTAGAAATTTTTATCTGACATTCCTGCCCTTTGTGGGTTACTAAGACCAAGAGGTTAAAACTAAATGCTCTATCTTTTCTATCAAAATCGTTAGGTTATCCGGAGTCGGTGTCATGATATTTAAAGATATGCTTTTGGAAAAGCTTGACATGTTCTGAAACAAACATTTTTACGTCAATTTTTTTCAAAACCAGGTACTGAGCAGATGTAGATAGAACTTTGTAATTCTAGGGTAGTGACTTGAGAACGACAAAATAAACTGCCCTACGAACAAAGACAAGGTGAAAAACAATTACTGTACGCGCTACACACTTTTCTCCTTACATTTATTTCTAACTTCTTCAATCTCTATTCTTCAGGTCCGCCGCCCAGGTAAAACGTTATCAGGCACGCTGCTCTGGCCATGACCGGTAACGACGGACAGCCGTAGAGAAGAGAGTAAGTTCTTGGTTTGTTTTCTTATCAAAATCCTGTCTGGTTCATTTTTGAAAACGTCCCGCATCATATTGACTAGTAGAATTTAACGTTCCTTTCAAATCTGCTGGTTGTTAGATTGTACTTTGGTGTAGAATGCTCATTCTTTCCTATAGAACATACGTCGTTCTTATCTCTCCTCCTTCTTTTTGTGTTTGTCACTCTCTTGTACCATCTCTAATCACCGGCACTCATATGACCTTATTATGTTGTCATTATCATCCTCCGGTGCCTTGCCGACTGGCGTGGGCGATCATGGACCTCCACTTCCCTCTGTCTTGCGTTGCAGCAATGGTGTCTGCCGTTCTTGCTGCTCCTAGCCATGTTGTCATCTTGTCTAGTATCTTTTCCCTCTGTCTGCCTCTGCCTCTCTTTCCATCAAACTTGCCTGTTGTTACAATATTCTCCAATGCTTCTTTCCCCATTGTGTGTCCGAAGAAATTTGCCTGTCGCTTTCTTATATTCGTCAAAAGCTGTCTTCTACAATTTGCTTCAACCAAGACTGATGTGGTAAGTGCCGTAAAACTCTTACATGAACTGAGAAGAGTGTAAGGTCTTGGTTTGTTTTCGTATCGATAAGTCTGGTTCGTTCTTGAAAAGGTTCCGCATCGCTTATTGCTTTGGTACCAAGGGACGTCCTTTTCAACTCTGTGTGATTATGTAAGAACTTCGACCAAAAAGTTGACCATGATAATATGTTAGTTGTGAGCCTTTATTGTAGATATTTTAAGTCCCCATCTACACAATTTAGATCAAAATAAGAAGCCGTCCTTGGCCCTATCTCTTAGGGCCAGCCCAGCCCGAGAGGAATGAAACGTCTCAGTAGGAAATCCAACATGTTCGATAAAAATATTTCCTACACAATAATTGAACTAGGTGTCGAGGGTAGAGCCTTCATACAGGGTGATCCAAACAAACTACAACTTGTTTTGTAAATATCTTCCTCCATACTGAAGTTTTGCGTTTCAGGTTTGAACATAATAATATTTGAAGCTAAAATTAATTTGTCAGATATTCATTTTAGAACATTCCATTGAATGGTTTTGCTCTATAGATACGGTGAAATTAAAAAAAAACCCACCTATTTTCAACCTTGTCACTATTTTCTAGCATGACACACCAGTTCGCATTAAGCATACCACTAAAAGTTGCAACAATCGTGCGATAGTGCAATCTTCAGCAGTCTAACAAGTCTACAGAAGTCTGCAGATTTTATTTTCCCAAATTTCCTTTGCCCGGTGAGATCATGGTTAAGTAAAGAGCAGAGAGCTTTTTGTATTGAACATTACCTCTCCACACACTCACCATCCCTGACATTTCGTAAGTTTTACGCACGGCATGGAAAAGGTGCTTACGTGCCCTCAAGACCGTTGGATGTCACGAGTAGAGAATCTCTATAGCAAATCAAAACTAATCATTTCTTTAAAAAAAGTGAACACTTCAGATCGAACACGCACCATGCGCAGCCCTTTCAACGTCACCAGGTTTCAGATTTCCGTAGTCGAGTCCCAAGAGACGTCAGTCCGTAGACAATCTGCAGGTGGGACTTTCCTACACCTCAACAGTCTGTATTCTCTTGGCAGGTCTTAACACACGGCTGCACCAATTTTCATCTTCCCGATCCAAGATGACATGGATCAGAGCATGGCAATGTGTGTTCATGATTCCTCGATTGTCTTGAAAAGCGGGATCATTTCCTCAATGAAATTTTGTTTAGTGCAAAGCCCATTTTTCATCCTGCAGGATATGTTAGCTTAAAAAAATGCTGTCTATCTGGCACCCCGCTCCCTATTGTCTATAGAAGCCGCTTCATTCTGAATATGTATAGTGTTCATGGCTTTTAACACTAATGGTTTAGCAGGTCCTTATGTGTGGGCGCCATTGAACATTTCGAACGACGCGTTAAAAATGTGTCGAGTCCAAAGGATGGCATATAGAGCACTGCTTCTAGGAATTCCAGAAAGAAATCGGTAGTTTTTTAACTCTGTAAAAGAAATAGATATTTTTCAAATGTTACAGGGATGGAAAATTAAATGTCAAAGAGAAAATAAAGAAAAAAAAGTCAACCAATCTTTTCACGACTTCCTTTACAAGATTTTTTCAAAATTGGTGAACTTTTCGTTTTTAGGTGCTTTTTGCTTTTAGCCATTACCGTTTGGAGAATAAGTTTCTTCTTCGTGGATTTTAAGTCAAACAAATTCCTTTTGAATGAATTATGCCTGTTCCAAATTATAGCATTCTAGAATAATTTTTGTGCGAGATATTCAGAAAAAGTTGTACATTTTTTTTTCTTCTATCACCCTGTAATTTCCGAAAAGACGGTTCTGTTGGGGTAATCGAAACTGAGTTCGATCATAATGCATGGTAATAACTGAACATATAAATTGGCAAAATCTATAAAAGCCTCAAGCTAACAAGGATAATATCTTCACAAGTAGAATGTGAGACAAACATTTTGTAAAATTTACCTCCTCTGATGTACCATCTGCCTTCTCCTTTTTCTTTTTCTTTGTGAGGGGCGGGGTGGGGGAGGGGGGAGGTATTTGCTCTTTGTTTTCGTCATTACTCTAACCGCCAAGAGCATTTTTCTGTTTCTATTCATAAACAGAAATTTCAAACTTGGCTCGTCAATAAAAGTTTAAAAGGATAACAAGAGATCTTTTTACCAGTCTTCAGTTCACAAGCCGAGGAAGTGAGAAGACAAAGTAACATGGAGATACCCGAGACGAGAGAGAAAAGAATCCTGATCGTCGGGGCAGGCTGCAGCGGTCTGGCCGCCATCAAATGCTGCCTTGACGAGGGGCTCACCCCTGTGTGTTTGGAGAAATCTTCGGACATCGGCGGGTTATGGAACTTTTCCCAAAACCCCACCCAGGACGCAGCGAGCATTTACAACAGTCTGGTCATCAACACCAGCAAAGACATGATGATGTTCAGCGACTTTCCGCCCCCGGATGACTTCCCTTTGTTTCTAACCCACAAGAAAGTCTTGGAGTACTTCAAACTGTACACGGAAAATTTTGATCTTCTGAGGTATATCACGTTCAACACAGAAGTTCGGAATATTGCGAAGTCTCCCTGCTACGATGAAACTGGAAGATGGCAAGTGAGGTATGCTGTCAAAGTGGAGGCGACGGCGGCGTCGACTCGTGGTGGGAAGACAGGAGAGGAACGTGACGTCAACACTGAGACTGGTGACGTAAACAAGGAGACAATTGACGACAACACGGAAACCAGTGACGTAAACACTGAAACCGTTGACGTTTTTGACGGAGTTATGATCTGTAGCGGGCACCACTCTGTCCCGCACGTGCCAGACATCCCCGGACTGTCGCAGTTTGAGGGCACGGTTCTTCACTCACGTTCTTACAAAGACGCTACGCCTTTTGCCGGACAGAGGGTCGTCATACTGGGTGAGTTGACAAAGTCAATTAATGTGTTAGGACACAATTTAATGGCCTAAGGAATTATTTGTATCTCCTTTAAAGGTTGTTCGTTTTTTGCTGCCTTCGAGGAAAACAACACAAATTTATCTTGGTTAGCAATCGAGATATTTGCGATTTAAGAAGTGGTGGTCGCCTTGTACCACAGGTAGACTAAGAGAAAAAAAAGCCCCCGAAAGATTGAGTGTGTAGGTAAACTGCATATTTACAATTTAGTGCCTTTGCTAAGTATTTTTCACACAGAAATGTGATTTTAAATGGTCATAGAAGAGGCTGAGTAAAAAAAAAAAGGTTTGACAAAAATTACTCAGGGCTCGAGAATATATTTGTCCCTTTCTTTGATCCCATTATTTAAACTAGAGCTTGAATTCACGATGAAAGATTTATAAATGTATTCATTTATCTTACTTAAGTTTACCGTATACGCATTTTTAGTTTCCCTTTCCTATGTTTAATACGAGGAAATTTGTGAGACAGCGTGATGAATTCAGGCGCTCGTCAAAACAATAGAATAACTGAAAAAACTGTCATTTTTTTGCATGTTTAGCAATTTTTGTCCAATGTTAGGTTGGGTTTTTTTGTTGGGGGGGGGGGGCAGGGGGGGGGCAGGGGGGTGGTTTGTTTTTTGACTCGACACCTTTTATGTTCATTAAAGAACACATTCCTGTGTCAATTGTACTGAAACACGTTGATTAAAGGGGAAAATGTACATTTTCAGTTTCCACAGGCTCTCAAGATTTGGAAACAGCCAGACTTTGGCTTCCATTTTCTCACTAATTTTACTTTGAAACGAGGCGACCCCTGGCCCCTCTCTCAGTCGCAAATATTTCTCCGCATATAATATTATTCAATATAGATGGGCATTTTTCATCGAAAGATAGACAAATTTTAATGAACAAGCTTTAAGACGATACCAATAACTCCACATGCCCAAAACTGACTAGCGCGTGATACCACTACGTTGTGACACATCTGTTCTATCTAGTTTTTTATCAAGAGCTCTTAATGTAGTCACTTCTTTTTGTAATGGTTAACGTACGTTCACCCCACCTTTATGTTTTGGACAGGAGTTAACGTGTAGAGATGAGTTGAGGGGAGCTGAGGTGGGCGCTACGAGATTTTGTATTGTTCTGAGAAATTTATTTAGGCATGAAATCACACACACACACACACACACACAAACAAACACACACACACACATACAAACATACACACAGACACACAATTACAAACGCACACAAACACACACAAACACAAACACACACACACACACGCACGCACACACACATACACACACACGTGCGGGCATGCACTCTCAAACGAATACGAATTTAACGACAAACGAAAAACGTTGTTCAAATTAGAAGTTGTTCTCTGTCTTTCTGAGCTGAGAAAACGCCTTTTTTCATTTTTGGCGCCATTTTTAAAAAAATTGCTAAATGGAAAGCCTGATCAGTTACCCTATTAGTGAGGACAAAAGCAAAGTGAAACTGTGACTAGTTTTTGAAAAATAGAATTCAATTTCGGAAGAACGCCTTTTTAAAAGGTTTGACTGACAAAAAGCCTCTTTATCTCGAAACTGCTGTGAATTTTAAAAAGGCGTTTTGTCAGCTTACGGGTATTATTGTCACTGTCTCTTTTTTATATTTCTATTGTACTTCTCACTAGTTCATCTAATCTGATCGTACCTAATTGAATATACATCCAAAACAACAGAATATTGCCTTTGTCGAGGGAAGATAATGCTCAGTGAGATAGGACGGAGAAGATGTGGAAAGAAAAGGCGGAGGGTGTATAATCAGTCATTTTCTCTCTAGGTAACTGTTCAATAACTTCTCCGACACAATTTAGACCATAATTAGAAGGCAGGCTCTGAAGCCCTTTTCTTTCAAAGCCATCGTGGATTGAGTTGGATACTCCTAATACACAAGAGACTTCCGACACCCGAACTCATACCTTCTGCGAGCAACGGTGAAGAGTTTGACCACTACACCACTAATGTCATTGTTCTGTCTTTATTCTTTGTGAGTGTTGACCACTGGGAAGACACGTGAACCCAATGGTCTATTTTATGTCTCCACTCTGCTCATGCAGAACCATGTTTAGTTTGGAAACTCCCCTCATTCTTTTCTTTGTACACGTATGTTTGTTAATATTGGGCACTTATATAACCTATTTGTGTGTTGCAAGTACCCTAAAATTCTCTCTGAATCTAAACTTAAATCATTACCTGCCGGATCTCTATCAGAAACAGTCAGATAGATGATTAGACGAGCATTAATGTTACCATTGTTGTGTGTATCCACCTATTCCAGGCATGGGCAACTCTGCCGTGGACATTGCGTGTGACCTGGCCCGTTCCGCGTCACAGGTAGGGCTTAGTTTTCAATTGTTTTTGCGGTTTGCTCGTTTTTATGTTTGTTTTATTGTTTGCTTATTTGCTTATTTGCTTGCTTGCTGTTGTAAGTTTTTGTTTTTTCCGTTTTCGGGGGAAAGTGGTTTTGATGTTTTCTTTCGTTGCCTTTTTCGTTATTTTGATTTTTGTTTTGTGTTGTTCTTTGTTTGTTTGTTTGTTTGTTTGTTTGTTTGTTTGTTTTTCGTTTTGTTTTTGCTGTTGTTGTTGTTGTTTTCGGGGGGGGGGGAAGACGAGTTACTGTAAAACAGTCAAAATGCTTATTCACTTCTAAAAACTCAAACATGTTACGATCTAATTTAATTATAATATTTGATAAGGCACACACATCAAAAACAGAAGTTATGAAAGTGAACCGAAACCGTAGTCCCCTGAACACCCATGTCAATAGTAAACAATTGGAACAGCTGAAGGAGTTTAAATATCTTGGAAGTACGTTTTCCGAAAACGGGTCCATAGACAGAGAAGTAGAAATGCGAGCTCAAAAAGCCAAAGCTGTCACCTACCAGCTTGCAACCCCTATCTCATCCAAAAATCTCCATGGACACAAAGAGACAGCTTATCACCTCAATATTCATACCAACATTATGCTACCAGTGCCAGACCTGGACATTAAGTAAAACCCATGAAAGCAAAATCACCGAATGCGAAATGAAATGTCTCCGCAAAACCCTTAACACCACAAGACGAGACAGGCAGAGAAATGAAGAAGTAAGAGCAGCTACCCGCATTGAGTCCTGCCTGCATTACTTACAAAGACAGAAAATAAAATGGTTTGGCCACCTGTTACGTAGTATGTCACCTGGCCAGCCACCCTCAAGAGCCTACAAAACTCGGGCTATAAAAGGAGAGGAAGGCCACGCAAAAGGTGGATCGAGGGTGTCAAGGAAACCCTGAGAAAATATAGTATCACAACTGAAAGAACTGCGGAGCTGGCCTGCCATAGAAAACTGCATCTCCCCTCGACACTTAAAGGCAACAGAGGATTAAAAAGAAAAAAGTAAAGTAAAGATAAGGCACAAATATTATTCCCATGATTACCATCATTACTGTGTCTTTCTCGCAAGCTGAATATGTTGGTTCGATTTTCGACATGGGGAGAGGGAAGAGGGGGATGTTTTGTCGATCATTGCCGTCCCTTTACTGGGACGAAACATCATTTTATTTTAAACTACCTGTTTTGACCTCAGCATTCAACTGTTGTATATTAATTACCTAAATTGTGTCAGCCTGAATGTTGGTTATTTATTAGGAGATGTTTTAAGCCCCCGTGGACATAATTTGGATACTGTAGGTCGTTGACTTCGGCCCTGCCTTTTGTCGTCCTTATCAGCACTATTAGGTTATTTAAGAGGCGGGACCACCGAGTTTAACGTCCATCTCATAAAGGACCAAGTCATTTGAGAAATACGTGTAAAGTGCCTTTCCCAAGGACACAACGTCGTACCAAGCTGTCGAGGCTCGAATCCCCGAACCTGCAATCTCATTATTACAGGTCCAGTAGCCTAACCGCTAGGCTAACGACGCCACTCGGCACCTGTATGACCAAAGTGTGTTGCAAGTGCCATAAAATACCTACTAAAACAAAATAAATCCTATCTGAAGTTGGCAAGTGTAAGTGATGTTGTTTGCTCCTTCTTTCCTGTCAAACATGCAACTCTACGTCTTTATTTCTACCCCTCCCTTTCTTTTAATTAAAAATAACGTTTGTTATTCTCTTGAAGCACTTCTAATTTTCGGTACTTATATGATTTATATAATATGTGTGTTTGCAAGTGCCATCAAACGCGTACTGCAACAAAATAGATTAAATCATATCTGGCGAGTGCAGGTGTATCTGATTTGGCCTCTCCTTCTTTCCTATCAAAGGACTATCGTCTTTATCTCTCCGTCTCCATCTCCTGTTTCTTTTATTCTTTTTTTTTTTTGGGGGGGGGGAGGCGGGCGGGAAAGGGTTTGTCACTCTCTTGTTGCACCTCTGGTGTTCAGCCCTGACTTATATGACCTAAGTGTGTTTGCAAGTGCCATAAAACGCCTACTGCAACAAAACGAATCAAATCCTGTCTGACGAGTGCAGGTGTATCTGAGCTCCCGCCGCGGCGCCTGGATCGTGCCAAGGACAGCGTTCTGGGGTCTGCCCGCGGACATGTTGGCCAACAGTCGCGTGGTGTTCACCATGCCGCTCAGGCTGCTAGACTGGTGCGTCCAGAAACAGGCCAACTTCCGGATTGACCACGACACGTACGGCCTCAGGCCCGATCACGGGTGAGTGGAGGGGAGGGAGAACGCGAGGGCGTGGTTGGTGGGTGTGTTACGGTACAAAAAAAAACCGGGTGCTTGGTGGGAAAAAGCGGGTATTGGACAAAGCGGGTGGTTTGTGGGTATGATACCGTGGAAAAAAAGCTGGAGGTGAAAAAAGTGTGCGATCTGTTGGTGTGTATTTGGTAAGGAATGATCTCCTTACAAAAGAAAAGAACTGCTGTGTGAAGAAAAAATGAGTGGCTGGTCGGTGTTCTGAGGAAAGGTCTGGTTTTTAAAAAAGGATAAGAAGAAAGCGGGTGGTTGTTGGAGTGCGATTGAGGGGGAGGGGGGGGGGGTGGACTGCTAGCTAGAACGAAAAAAGGACGGAGTTTGAAGGTGTGCAGGTTATCAACATACTATTAGATCTAACATAAGAAATATAGTGCAAGAAAAGATGCCGCCATATGAGAGCATTTTGACCTTGTTAATTAAATCCGGGTTAGTCATCGGGGGCAAAATAAAAAACACGAAGGGGTGAGGAGGGGAAGGGCTGTGGGTAAATATTACTTTTACCCGCCTACAATGAAAATACTAATTATTCTCTATTCCCTCATCCCAGTGTGCTCAACTGTCATCCAACCATCAACGATGAACTGCCAGTTCATTTGGTGAGTGGGCGTGTCCAGGCCAGGCCACGCCTCTTCCGGGTGGAGCAAGACGGCGTCTGGTTCGACGACGAGACGTTCTGTCAGTGCGACGTCATCATCATGGCCACCGGCTACGACTATCGGGCGGACTTCGTGAATCCAGAAATCTTCAAGGTGGGGGTTCAGGAATGTCGTTTTTCCGTTTCTAACCCGCTATTATGGATATTTCCGTTATTTTTTTTGGAAAAACTAGAAAAATACAATTATTACTATTAAATTCCGTTTTCTTTTTAACTCCATAATAATTATTATTAATTGTGTCACATTAGATCTAACTGTTATCTGTTATTTTTGTCTGCAAATGCAACTTCGTAAATTTTCAGGTATTTTCACAAAATCTCGGTGGTGTCCCTGTAGGTTAAGGCGAACTCAGGAAGATGGATGGCAACAGCTAATGTAGTCGCTTTCAAAGACAACCAGGCTAACCCAGATTTCGGGGTTTTTCAGATATCTTGACCTACACGGATAGTGGGTATTGCCCCCACCTATAGGAGCAGTTTGGTTCCATCGGTGTGTATATTTGTTTGGTTGGAGAGAAAACTCTCCTTGTCCTTTTGAGAAAACGCAGACTTTTGAAACAATTTTAATGGGCTAACCCCAAAAATGGCCGACGCCTAGATTTGCTTCAAAGGCGTTTTCTGCATATCTGCACTAACTGAGCCAACTCAATTTTTTTTATAATAAATAATTCTCAGTAATTTATACGTATACGTCAGACAAGGTTAAAATTGACTCATATCAAAACAACAGTAGAATTCATTTGAAAACAAACACACAGAGATGGATTTAAAGGGTCCAAATTTTACCTTCGATTTTCTCAAAACAGCATTAATTTTCAGGAGCCTCCTTGTGCTTAAAAGCGACCATGTGTCAACGTCAGGAGGTGCAACTCCGTAACTGATGGGGCCATTCTCATACACCCCTTTCACTCTGGAGACAGAGAAATAAGTGTCTTTTCTTTTTCACAGAACTCATGTCTTTTGCCCAACTCCCAGTTCTTGTCCATATGTGCCAGGAGCTGGACATTAAAGACGTATCTTATCATATGTTATCTTATCTTATCATATCTTATCTTATCTTATCGATAAGAGTAGGCGTTGACCGCCACCTGGGCAAAATTCCAAATAAATTCCTACCAAACTGAAAATGTGTGAATGCGTCTCGCGCTTATATGACCTTAAGCAGTTGCGAGTGTCGTAAAACTCCTACCAAAAGAAGCAAAAACAAAAAACCACTACACTACGGTGGCTTGTTCCTTTCTTGGGTTACGTTTCTTACCCAAGTCGACTTTGTTGAAGACTATTTTCCGTGTGATGTTCCAACACACCGTTTTTCATGGTCATGTGCTCCTAGTCTGTGTTTGAAAATTCGAGGAAAAAAAACCCAGCAGAAAAACAATATTTCCTCAAAACTTATAAACCCCAAGAATTTAAGACTTTCAAAAGATCACCGTTGAGTAATATACTTTAGGTTCTTTGCTTGTATTTGAAAATTCGAGGAACAAGCCTCAGCTGTGAAAGCACAATTTTACCTTTAACATCTTAAGGCCAAGAATTAAAAATTTTCAGTAGATCACAGGTGTCTGTTAATACCTAGATTGTTAATATGCTTGAGTTCGAACATTCGAGAAAAGAAGTCAGAAAAATACACAGAGATCTAAATTAATTTTCTTCCTTTAGCATGTCAAGCCCAAGAATTAAAGACTTCCAATAGATAACAGGTGTCTGTTGAATAATACTGAGGCTCTTTGCCGTTGCACACAGAAGGCAAGACTTCGGTTCCTGTGTGGGGAAATATTTATTCCATGGAGTCATGGAGCATCTTTACAGGCCAGCAGGGATGTTGTGTAGTCCTAGCAGGCAAAGCTGTTGCAGCCTGCCTGCCTAATCTAATGATCTACATTACTTAAATTCGAATAGGAAATTGGAAGAAACTCAAGGGAAGTAACTATCACGTCCAATGGTCGGGAAATAGACCACTGATTATCTCCCTTTCAATATTTTGCCGTCGTTGCACTG